TCTCCTTTGCATTCCGAGGGTAACGAGAGCGTTGTATTTGTGCGTATTGATCTTGTCTCTTTGGTAATGGCTTCTAGTGATACATTTGGGGGCAATTCTTCGATTTCGTCGCTACTACTATTCAGACTTGGATGTTGTTTAAGGATTTTCTGCCATTTGCGCATGCTGCGGTCCATAGTGATATTTGCTTTTGAAGTTTGAGGGCTGGATTTAAGTAAATTTTTATTTTGAGAGTTGGATTTAGATAATTTTGAACAAATGTGTTCTGATTGAATAATAGCCCCAACTAATCCATTGCGTATATCGCGTAGCCGTCGGCTTAAACCACGTGTTTGAATCTGATTGGTTGATTTCCGCTTACATGTTTTTCCGCCCTCTACCGAGTCATTTTGTGACGAAACTTCCAGTCTATTTATAGAATGCTGATTATCCGCTGTACAAGTTGGTTCCTTGGATGTATTTGGTCCCTTGGATGTATTAAAGCCAAGCGCTGTGCGAATTAGGTTGATCTTTGCCACCGTAAACATATTATCATACGTACTTATTGGTGTTGCTTCCCTACTTGGATGACGTGATAAGTAGTCCGCCAAACCAATTTTAGCCCCTGGTTTATGCTCAATTTGAAAATCAAAAGGAATTATTCGATCTAACCAGCGCGTTAAGCGACTAAACATCGTTTTATTTTTCTTGTTATTACCGTTCAAAAGGGATATTAAAGCTTTATGATCGGTAACGATCAAAAAACTTCGGCCCAGTATGTAATTTCTAAAATATTCAGCCCCCCACACAACTGCCAACATTTCCAATTCGTTTGTTGAGTATTTCTTTTCCGCTTCGTTAAGATATCGCGACGCAAACGAGATTGGGCGCCATCCTTCTGGTCCTAACTGTTCCAACACCGCGCCGAGCACGTTATGGCTTGCATCGCACACTATACGAATGTCTTTGTGGATGTCAAAATGCCGTAATTCAACAATGTTAGAAACTTGTTTCTTAAGGTTTTCGAACGCGTTCTGGCATTCGGGTGTCCAAATGTATTCATTATTTTTGCTTAGTAGGGGTCGCAGCGGTGCCGATGATTCGGCCAATGCCGGCAGGTACTTGTGCAAACTATGAATTGACCCCATAAACGATTTTAATTGTGACAAAGTCCGTGGCGGCGTTAGCGCTTCTATTGGTTCTGTTTTTCTAACCAATGGAGTAATTCCAGTCGGGGTTATTTTATGGCCTAGCCATTCGCATTCTCGCTGGGCGAATTTACATTTTGTCAATTTTAGGGACATATTTTCACGATCCAGTTTCTTAAAATTTTCTCTACCGTCGCTATGTGATCTATCGCCGTTCCTTTGGTTACGACCAAAATATCATCGATGGACGCATGCGCTTGCGGGTATTCAGCGAGTATACAATCCATTGCGCGCTGGAATTCCGCGGGCATTGTAGTGAGACCATAGAATCCGGTCTAGAACCGGTATGTACCCGTCGAGCGGCCTCCAATAAGAGAAAAATTGCACTGTATGCTCGTCTCAGCGTTTAGTGGCAGTTGGCCATAACCATATGTTAAACCCATTGTTGTGAAATATATGTCTCCCGGTTTTTTTTCGCTAATCGTTTGTCCAACCGTGTCCATTAGTTCCTCGATATTCGGCATTTGGTATTTATTCTTATGCACTTGTTTATTTAGTTCCCTCGACTCGAGTGCCAGTTTCACGGACCCATCTTTTTTTACTGTTATTACTATTGGGGACACAAAATACTTGTCCGAGCATTCGGAGAATTTTTCAATATGATCCTGTTTCAGTAATTTGTCAATTTCTGCATCCACTTTCTCTTGCAACGAAATCGGGACTCGACGCCCCTTCTGTTGAACTGGGGTGAGGTTTTCAAAAAATTCGGCTTGTACCTTGTAGTTTCTTATTTTCCCTACCCTGTTAAAAAGGTTTGAAAACTGCTTACTGAAATATGTTTGCCATGAATCCAACTCCCCCTCCGGTTCCAGTGCGTCCTGGCTGCCTTCTTCAATGGACATTATGTGGTCCCCTGGTGATTGTTGCACCAACTGGAGTCCTAGTTGGGGCATCAGATCTCTTCCAATTATTGATGGTCGGTTCCCTCCGATTACTTTTATCCTTGCATGGATCTTCCAGCCGTTTGATTGTATTGTTACTGCCATTGTTCCAATCATTTGTAATGGATTGTTCCCATAATCCCGAAAAGCATTGTCCTCCTCCGTAAGATTGTCCAGTTTTACTCCTGATGTTCCCAAAGTTTTCCGCAATTCTCCGATGGTGAAAATTGAAATTGGGGACCCGCTATCGATCCACACTCGAGTGGGTTTCCCATTGACTTTGATCGGGAATTGTGCCCCAGCAACTTTCAATTCGGTGACTCTTTTTCGTTTTATGGCCATAACCATATAGTCCCCGTCGGAGCTGCTTGAGTCCCACGAGTGCACCACTGGATTCTTATTAACCCATCCAATGGAACTTGCATGTTGTGATGCTTCTTCGTCCGCCGAATTTTCTAGGTGATGATCGTCGCCATTCTCCCGTATCATTCTTACGGCTCCCTGTCCCCGCTGGTTTCCACGTTTTCCCCTGCAGGTTCGTTCGAAGTGGCCAATTTTGTGGCTAAAAAATTGCATGTAACCCCCTTTGCTGGGCATCTGTCCAAGTGTTCCCTGGTGAAATTTTGTTGATCGCAGTTATAACATTTGTTGTTATTGGGTAGATTTCTGCCTCGATATGATCCTCGCTCTTGGTAAGAGCCCCGGCCCCTTGCACGATTGTTCCGATAACCTCCACGGATTATTCCGACTGGTTCCGATTTTATCTGGATTCCTCCGCCTCCTGATGATGATCCTGGGGCCCCCACTGGTCCCGTGGAAACAAATGATGATGCATACTTGTTACCCCTCTCGTACGAGAGAGCTATCCGGTACACTTCCTCAGGTGTTTTCGTCGACCTGCATAGTTCCTTTTGTGCATCCCGATTATTCATGTTAACAATGAATACGTCTCTTAGTATTCGGTCTTCTAGTGCTCCAAAATTGCACTGCGCTGCCAATCCGCTGAGTACGGAATGGAATTGTTCCAAGCTTTCATTGATAAATTGCTTACGAGAAAGGAGTTGGTATGTTTCATATGTTTCATTTCTCTCTTTCTTAAATTCCGTTTCCAGCGCGTCTATCATCCGTGGGCAACGAATCGTCTGGAGATCCAGGTGTGGTCGTCTTTTGTGCAGTTCATCCTGCCCCTTTTCCCCCAGACACAAATACAGGTTCGAAATCAACACCTGTTCTGATACCCGCCGATTTTTTCCGTCTACTTCCTCGGGCAAGTCAGTAATTTGGGCCTCTGTGAGTGTCGCGGCGAAGTAAAAGTTCATCGGGTTTAGTGAGTGCTTTGCGACCATTCCCCATTGGAATCTGTTGATCCAGAATTCCCACAACATTGGCGTTTCCGTGCATTTTGCTGGCCAAAAGCACGTGATGCCCAGTGGATTCTTTCCCCCACCTGATCCTGCTGACTGCGCCATATCAAGAAGGTAAAACTGTCGTTGTCCAATTGTTAATTCCGATATAAGAGAGTGTTAACTTAATCTCACAAAGTTAGCATAAAGAGTGGTTAGAAACAGTATCCAAGGGTGACAGACTGTTCCAAGGACAAACACCTGCTAATCAATTAGTCTAGCACCAAGAGTGAATATTTGATTGACAGCTTGCGAAATGAACTCAATTACTCTATACAACACACTTCAGTCATATTTTTTTTCTTAAAGAAATAAATACATTATTTTCAATGAACTTGTTAACTCATTTACTGCAAAGATCCTATACACAGTTTTGCTGAGACAATTTTGGAGCCACAAGTACCTGTCGCTGAAACGAATAACCTACATTTGTGTTCCGTCAAACGCTACTTTCTTCTACATTTTTTCTTCGTTCCCAACAAATTTCACAAAGGAACGATTGGCTGACATTTCAATGACTTGACTTTTTGTTAATAAACTCCAAACAAAAAACAAGTTCTTAATTGTTGTTTTTTACATCTGTACCGTTGGCATTTTTGTCGTTTTCAGTGGTACTAAAAACAGATAAATCTAGTTTTACCTGTTTTTAGTGTCATTTCAATCCAGTAAACCATTTTAATGTTTCTGATACACATTTTTCTATAATTTTAACTTTTTTCAGTTTCTTTTTGTTGGTTTTATCATCAGCGAAAAAAAAACGATTTAGAAGTCAGTACTGCTTCACATATTTTGGACAAACTAAAAATTTGGACAAACTAAAAAGCTTTTCATTAGTGAGGTTAATCTTTAGGAGTTATTGAAGAGGCTCCTTGTCCCTTACATTGTGTATTCTGCCAGTAGAAGAAAATGATCAAGTCTATCAAAGGAAAAAATTAGTTGAAGAATTTTTTCAATTGATTTTTCTAGAGATTTGTTATGGCATCAACTAAACAACTTTTATTCTGTTATCTAAATTTTTTGACGATATGTGTTTTTGGCTAAAAATTAGATCAAGTGTTTTTGAACAATTTCCCGTAGAGTTTGCCAAAAACTGGGTGCATTGAAATCTGTTGATGACAGCTACGTACTAAACGAGTGTTTCCTTCATGCAATGTGACTACTTCAAGAAATTTCATTTTGGATAGAAGTTTTTATTCACAGTTTTGTTAAAAAGTTCATTGGTTATGGGGAAACCACAGGGACTTTTTTCAATTGAATCTGAAGTTGATTGCTTTTTTAACGAACGAAGTATTTCATCTAATAGTTGTGTCCAATAATGAAAGCATATAAAAATATGTCTCATGAATTTCCACCAAATATTCCAATAATTCGAGCTTATTTGGCCAAGTTAAATTTTTCGGTTTTACTTTATTGTCCTAATCTTTCATTTACATTGAATGAATCTAGCTTTTATAAATTTGTAAAAGATCAGTTGCCATCATTCCTTTGGTAATCAATTTTTTTTGAAATTATCACTTTTTTGTTTTAAGGCGCAGATGTTGAAGTGACGGCTTTGAGCATTATGCCTGCTCTCGTGAAGGAACGTTCTAATAAGGCAAAAAAAGTAATCGGTAACACTACCGTCACGTGTGAATTGGACCCTTCGGGCTTCTGCGAGGATGGTGAACAGTGCTGCTACAATCAGGGATCGGGTGGAAACTCTTCCGGGAACGGAACCACCACTTTCGCCGGCTGCTGTCCAACGGACGCCACGTAATAACTTCAAAATTTTATTGGGACAATTTTTTTGGTTTTAAATTTAAGAAATGTACAAAATCCTACAACTGTAAGGCCCACTGCAGCCCCCTGCCCCCCTTCCCCCGATTACCTCCCCTCCCCGTCATCACTCCAAACATGTCACATGATACACCGTGGTTATTATTTTTGTATCAATTTTCTGATAAGTGAGTTCTGTTTGCAGCTGCTGCAATGACGCTTCAACTGGCGACTACTACGGATATTGTCCCACTGCAAATGCGGTGTGCTGCTCCAACAAGAAAACTTGTTGTCCTCAAGGTACACACGGTAGTATATAAACGTGCGCTGGGCAAAAGCATTGATACTTAAGTGTATAACAATTGAACCATCTAGTAAATTTTGTGTTATGGGCTTTGTAACATTGGTGTAAATGTTTACTACTTTTTTTTTGGATTTTTGATTGAAAATATTCTGTTTGAAACTTAAAATCATACATGATTAAGAAGCAAAAATTTTCGATTTTCAGCAGTAAAAATTGCGATTCGCTAATGTATTTTGAACTTATGTTGAGCAAATTACGGAAAATACTCATGTCAATTTTTGCTTCATAGAACCAAATGATTCTGTAAAAAAAGTTTTGACAATTACATTGTGTTCAAGAAGTGCAAAATTTATGCTTCTTAATCACGTGTGGTTTTAGATAAGTCAAATAAAATTAACTTTCAATCCACTCAACATTGCTGCAACTTTTACATTAAAAGCCAAAGTGCTAATGTGAGAAACTTGGTTAGTTAGCGAGGATTAGAGCTGGGACGAAGCTTTACCGAATGATATTTTCAAAAAATCAAGATTGTTGATGGCGAGAACCCGTTTGGCGTCACAGCAGATAAGTCATATTGTGCGGTTAGAGCTGTTAGGAGCTTTGACGGCTGGGTGAATAAAAAAAGGTTTTTATCAAATATGCATTAAAGTTTTTTGACGTGAAAAACCTTGTTGACTCAGAAATAGTCCAGGAAATGGTGTGAAAGAATTTGTATGGGTTCAGTTTCTTTACTGGAACTCGTCTTGGTAAAATTCAAGCTTCAGAAGATTCTAAACATTTCTTTTGGGTGGCGCGAGGTGATAAAATTGCCGGCCTAATTGCATGGGTTGTTTTACCTTCGGCGCTAAAATCCGACAGGAAGTTTTTGGAACTGACATTCAAAAAGTTGCCCGTTCAACAAAAATTGGTTAAAGACTTTGAGTTGCAGGAACTGTCATAAACTAAAGTTTTTTTGTCACAAACGAGAGCTCAGTCTTTCAATTTTTTTGATTGTAGTCGATTCAGTAAAATCGCAATATTGAAAAAGTAAGAGCTCGTCTCTTAGCATTGAAAGAAACGCACTGACAATATTCAATGCGACCCAAATAGGATAGTGATTTGATCGATAGATCGTAGAAATTTTTTGTTTTCAATCAACAAAGAGAGACTCTTAAAGAGTTTGAAATTCAGAAATTCCTGAGCCTCGGTGCTGTTGAGAACAGTGACAAAACTGTTTTGGTTGGACAGCATATTAATAAGCCTGTTTCACTTCTGCGCAAATCTAAGCAACGCTACCTGATTTGATTGTTCGAGAATTCCACAAAAAAGGTCATCTGGTTAAACTGTGAGCAGCAAACAGATAGGCTGCCCTGATTTATTCTCACTTTGGCTCACAAAGAGCTAAATATTTAATACAGTAAAATCTTGAACTTCTCAAAACTACATTTAGAAGCCTATTGGGTATAAAAGATGTACAATGGGAGTTTGCACGGGGTGGAGCTCTATGGCGACAGGCGTGCGCTGATTCGGTAACTACTTCAGTTTTGAAAAACCTGACTATATTTTTCGGCAAACAAGTGTGGTCAATTAACGAGTTTCAAAGTGTTTTGTTTGAGGCTACTAATTTACTTAAAGAGAAGCCAATCAGACGCAACCCCAATCATCCTGATGATGGTTCTTACCTATATCCAAAATGTTTGTTGTAAGGGAGAATTTCTAATGGCTATTCTTTTTTCATTATTTCACCTAACCACGCATACTTTAGTTAAAAACTTTAGAATTTAGAGTCAGATACGCATACTTTAATTAAAAACTTTTTGTGGAAGAAGTGGAAGAAAAATTATTTGCCGTGAATGGCGTTCTACAGGCGTAGGAAAAACTCAATGCAATCTCAAAAATGCGATAATGTTTTGGAAGAAGATTCTAATTCAATCAGAGGTTTATGGAATTATGACATTTTTAAAGATGCATTTCCAGGAAGAGAGGGTTTGTAATGAGATGTCGAAGTGGAAATAATCATGAAAGGTGGTTCAAGGTCTGTCATATCTCGACCGGTATCAAATTTGGTTTCTGTGCTTCCAGTTGAAGAACTGTGAAATTGAAATTTGGGGTGGAGTGTGCTGTTGGAAAAAAGCATCATTAGTTAATTGTATAACATTTGAAATAGTCTATCAATTGGGCAATAGACGTCATAAGTGTTCAACAAAATTCATGCGTTTTTTCTAGTAAATTTTGTGCTCTGGGCTTTATAACATCGGTATAAAATCGTACTACATCTCTCGTTTGGGTTTTTGATCGAAAATATTATGTTTGAAACTAAAAATCACACAGGGTTAAGAAGCAAAAAATTTTTGATTTTCAGCACTAAAAACCGCGTTAAATTGAGTTATTTTGAAGTTTTGTTGAGCAATTTACGGAAAAAACTCCTGTCAATTTTTGATTAGTAGAACAAAATGATTCTGTGATAAAAAGTTTTAAAAAAATCTTTGTTATAAGAAGTGTGTTTGCATCGGGCGAAATAAAGACCAAAGAGAGAATCCTTAATGGATAAAAGGCCGAATGCGCAAAAAGTTGGCCGGCCAGTCAGAAATCAAAATTCGTCAATTCGAAAGAGAGAAAGCTATAAAATCAGTCATTTTGGACAGTTTAAAGGGCTTTTATTGATTGAGAAAGTTCGCGCAGTTGGTCCTTCGCGCAATCAAGTTTTCATTCGTCAAGTTTTTGAATTGATGTGTGAAAATTTTGGGCTTTGGTATGAAATGGAATAGTAGCGGTTGAATTTTATGTCTGAAATCATTCCGATGACAAATCTGATCATTATGAAAATCTTCATCCTCGTATTTAACTCTGATACTGTTTTCAGGATACCAATGCTCCACAAGCGGATCGTTTTGCACGCAGAACTTCAAAACGACTGATGAAATGTCTTCCGAGGCACGACTCGTCGAACTTCCGAAAGAACTCGATCAAATCAAGAAAATCAGGCCAGCTAAACTCGTGGAAGCAATATCTCCCTCTAGCTTTGAAGTGGAGCGGGGTGGTGGAAATGAGACCAAAATTGACTTTGGGAAGGATTGGTGGAGTATGCTTGGGAAACAAGGGAAAAAAGATGGCGATAAAGCCCAACCTTGTGACAGTAATCCAAAGGTGTATTGTGCAGATGACTACACATGTTGCCAAGGCTAGATACTATTCAATGATTTAGATCTCATATCATCATTTCTAGGTTTTTTATATATCCTGGGAAGGTTGGCTGAAAATCATGGGAATGGTAAGGTTAATTTATTATCACAAGGAAAATTTTCTATAGTTTTAGCGTCTTTTTTTTAAAAAAAATCATTATAGCCGCTTATGATTTGATTGAGTCAAATTTAACAAAAGCATTTTTGTATTTTTTCGTACACTTCTCTTATTTTTCATGATTTTCACGGTACTCGAATAAAGTTACATATTTTTTGCGGTAGAAATGGCAAAGAAAACCCAATTTCTTCATTCGACAATATATTGCAATCTGCAATTTCTTCAGCTGGAAAAAAAAGAACGCAAACATTAACACAACGTGATTTACTCGCAAAAAGGGATTAATAAATTGACTGGGAATTTGTTTCAGGCAAAGATAATTCGATGATGTGTTGTCCTATGAGTGAAGCCGTCTGCTGTGGCGACAACGAGACATGCTGTCCCCATGGAACTACGTGCGACATCACCAATCACATCTGCACCAAATGATATCGTGACGAGAAACAGAAGAGCCGGAACCCAGTCGAGTTGGAGAGTTCTAATATCTAACTTAAAATTATTACTATATCTATTTATTAGATCTTTTTACTTAAAAAGCTTGTCATCGAAAATATGTTGTATATCTCAATTTCATTCATTGGAAAAATTGAAATAAGTATTATCGACACTATGTAATATTCATGTGCGAAACATTTCGTTTCAAATTTTCTTCTATAGTTTTCGATACTCTTGCCGATCTGCACTTACAATGAACCGTTCAGGTGCGGATCAAGGATTCCCTCGAAGTAGACGGATGCCAAAACAATCGAAAAATTTTCGTCGCTCGACAAAGTTAATCTTCTGAAACTCGGAACCACTATGAACTATGAAACCGCTTTCATCTACTCATTTTTATATTCTGTAATAAACGTATCGCCTTCAATTTTGATTGCAGATCCCTGCAGTTTAGATTTTACCTGACATTTTCAAAAAGAAACGACACAATTAAACCGTTCAATTTTTCCACAAAAAAGACAAAAAGCCCCCCTTTTTTCTCTCCTATAAAACATCAGTGCTGCCATACACTACCCGCTCAAGTTCTATTTTAAAATATGTTCAATGATCGCAGATTGACAATAGCTCAGAAATAACCCCCTGACAATTAAAAGGGTCCTCCGTTTAGTACCATTGTTTACATGCGGAAAATGCGCTTACATGGGGAAAATGCGCTTCAAAATTCAACTTTTTGATCAAACACTCGTTTAAAAAAGCCTAAAAACAACGTCTTTTTCTGCTTATTTTTTCTAGGATTTGCCTTTGAAAAAATGGTCAAAGGTCTGTTTTGTGGTTTAGGAGAGCTGAGAAAATCAATTTGGTGGACCAAACAAAGCGAGAAATATTTCAAAATGGTGGTTTTTTAACCATTCAAACCAGCAGCGGATTTAGGGTGGAGGCCCTCAGGGATTTGATGCCCTGCCAGCCCAAAATACTTTTTTGAGTCTCCATTTTTGGCTGATGGAGCTTAATTTTTTTTGGAGGATTTTTTTTTTTGAAACTCCGAACCCCCCCCCCCCTCCCCCCTCGAGAAAATCGTAGGTCAGCCCTGACTCAAACTGTTCATTTTTGTAGCTTTTTTGAGCGTAACTTTGATCACTTTTCACCTGAGCGATACGCTTTCGAATTTCATAGCAAATTAATACTTTATTTGCTAATTTTGAATTTGAATAAATTGGACAAGCTGTCCGAAAAAAAACTGCTGGTTCAATTTCACGGCTTGCGAATGAATGATCATATCCTTCCTGAGTTTTTAAAGCACATGGCTCAAAATAATTTTAGTTTGATGAAACTTTTGAGAATTTTATGTCGCCTAGCTTTAAATAACGTTGAGAAAAGCAATATTACAAAAAAAAACTCGAAGCATAGAAACAGACTAAATTATAAACCTTTAGAAAGGTTTGACTTTTTCTCAATTTTCTGCACGATTGTTTAAACTGAAAAAGTCTCACTCGATTGAAATGCCAGAAAACAAACCAATAAATTATTTATTTGAAAGTTGGTCAATCGTATTTGTTAATTACAGATCAATTTGTCAAAAAGCATATAACAAGCGTCGCTACTTGCAATACAAACAATGAATCTTGTTTCTAACTTTTGTTTTAAATTTACAAACATTTTATTTTAAAGTTCATTACAAAGTAATATTTCAGACAAATTTTTGGCTTCAAAACTTTCTGAAATATCGAAAACCTTCAGCATAACATCTCTCGAAACAAGCGGTCTTGCACAGGAGCGGATCTAAACTTTTCTCGAGAACAGACGGATGTTCAAAAAAAATTCGAAACTTTAGATCTCTATTAGGTCGCATAATTTGTTTTTCTAAACTCTCTACAGTAAAGACCTTTTTTGTTCATTTTCTTGCACTACAGAAAAATTTAAAAAAAACAGGCCCCAGAAGGCGTTTTTTGGAAACTTTTAGTAATTTTTTTGTTATAAAAAAAACGACTTGTTGGCGCTCGCTCTCTTAAAGAAAGTTGTTATTGGCCCTCAAGTAACTTAAGAAAAAAAATTAGGGCCAGTTGCATTCTCAGCTACATTCCCTAAAGCCGCGACGGATATTGCATCAGCTTATTTTAATTTAACCAGGAGGTCGGCTTTTTTGGTGAGCTTTTAAAACATTCCCAGAAAATGTAACGGTAATTTTTAATTTTTTTTCTGCAAATTTCCAATTGTGAATACTTGTTTGTTTTATCTAATTGAAAAAAATGTGGAACAAGTGAATTTTCTTTGTTCAATTTGAAATGCTTCTATGCGCGGATTAACTGGTTGCATTTGCCATATCCGGATACGATGAAAAAATTAATTTTCAAAAAGGAAAGGGTATAATGTGGTGTTTATTTTGAGTTAAATCATCAAACTTTAACAAAAGGTATATAAAAATTCTCAAATATATGAATAACAATTCCGTTTCATAAGGGACAGCCAGGGCATTTTATTTTTTCTCAATTGTTTCTCGATTGGTTCGATTGATGAAAATTATTTCCGAAAGTGTTCAAAACCAGAATCCAAACCTTGGTCAGCTCGGCTGGTGAAATTGGTTGCAACTGATTCCGAAAGAACCAAAAATTTCAATTAAGATGATCTGACCGTTAAAGATTTTCAACCGAACGATGTCATCGGTCATCGTTGCGTCTTGCTTTAAGATTGATTGAATCATGCTCACTTTGAACATAAACCGTATCGTTTTAATTTATTTCAAATAATCGTATATTCCAGCTGGCATTTAATCAATTTTTTTGAAGTGCTAAATTTTACTTGATGGAAAAAATGAATTCTATCCGCCGGTTAGTCATTTTTACAACCATTGACTTGTGTATTATATCTGGTTGAGTTTTACGCCAGCTACAGCAACGCAATGTATTGGCTTTGGGGTTAAAAGTACTCGAATAAAGTTTCAAAGCGACTCGACCAAAAATCACAACAGTAATAAAAAAAAAATCATCATGACAAAAATGATAATCATAACTAGACTGCTCGGATATCGAAACAAAGCCCTGATATCGAAACAAAGCCTCCCCTTAATCCATATCGAATAGTTTTTGGGAAACAAAAATTTTGAAAAATCTATAATTTTTGGATAAAATCAAAAATCAAATGTGAAAATTTGGGTCGTACGAAGTTAATACGACCGATTAGCTAGCCTCAATTCAATTCGGAACGAGTAGGTTGTGATGGATGAACAAAAATCAATTTACATCGATTATAATCAATTAAAAATGGATTACATTATAACTATTTATCGAGGCAACAAAATCCGTTTTTAATCAAAGATAATCAATTCTTTTTCATTTGTGGGGACACTGAAAAAAAAACTCAATTATATTTGATACTTTTCAACTTATTGAGATGCGATTATTCAAGCGCATACACAACTTTTTACGTTTTACACTATGATTGGTTACTTGTTGTTCAATATAAGTTTTTTCAGCGCAACTTATGTTACTTTGTTACTATTTTTGTTACTTTGTTAATTTAATCAATAACTGAATTTCGTTCCTTTCATCAATTGCCCTTTCATCATGAATTTTGTCTCTCGAATTTTGCCTAAGTTTGTATGCGGTCTATTCTTCAATTTAGTTCAGATGTTTGCCTTTTTGTTCTAGTAACTTAGGTTACTTTGTTACTGTTTTTGTTACTTGGTTATTTTAATCTTTAACTGAATTTTGTTCCTTTCATCAATTGCCCCTTATAACTCCCCAATGATTGCCCTTTTCCCCCTTTGTACCCAAACCCTGCCATCCCCCACCTGAACCAATCCTCTCCCCTCCCTGACCTGGACCGGATCAGTTGGGCGGTTCAGTTGTTGGGAGGGGCGTTGGTTCATGTGCGGGGGTTTGGTTCATGTGCGGGCGGGGGTTTGGTGGTTCAGTTGAGGGGATTGGTTCAGGTGCGGGGTGGTTCAGATGGGGATGGTAGTGTGGTTCAGGCTGAAGCGGAGTGTGGAAATCATGGTTCAGTTGGGGGGAGGGTGTCTCAGAGGCTCAGGTGGGGGTGGCTCAGGTGTGGAAGGTAAAGGGGCAGACGTAAGTGGGGGAAGTTAGCGGAGTTTTTTTTTCAATTTGAGTTTAGGCTAGGAATGGAGTAGGCCGTACACTTGCTTGGCAAAATTCCCGCATTACTCATTTGACAAGTGCAGAAAAGCTTGCAAGTTTCTGCACGATGCGAAACAAAAATAAAAATTAAAGACCTATTTTAATCTGATTTTCCACTTATTTTATAATACATTATAATAGATTTCAAATGAATTGTAATGCAATATGTTGTTACGAGAAAAAAATGAATTCATATCCCTTTTTAGTCCAATTTCCTTTCGGGTTTTGTCTAAGTTTGTATGCGGTCTATTCTTCATTTTAGTTCAGATTTTTGCCTTTTTTGTTCTAGTAACTTAGGTTACTTTGTTACTGTTTTTGTTACTTGGTAATTTTAATCTTTAACTGATTTTTGTTCCTTTCATCAATTGCCCCTTATAACTCCCCAATGATTGCCCTTTTCCCCCTTTGTAGCCAAACCCTGCCATTCCCCACCTGAACCAATCCTCTCCCCTCCCTGACCTGGACCGGATCAGTTGGGCGGTTCAGTTGTTGGGGTGGGGGGGTGTTGGTTCATGTGCGGGGGTTTGGTTCATGTGCGGGCGGGGGTTTGGTGGTACAGTTGAAGGGGATTGGTTCAGGTGCGGGGTGGTTCAGATGGGGATGGAAGTGGTGGTTCAGGTGGAAGCGGAGTGTGGAAGTCATGGTTCAGTTGGGGGGAGGGTGTCTCAGAGGCTCAGGTGTGGAAGGTAAAGGGGCAAACGTAAATGGGGAAGAGGTTAGCGGAATTTTTTTTCAATTTGAGTTTAGGCTAAGGAATGGAGTAGGCCGTACACTTGCTTGGCAAAATTTCCGCATTACTCATTTGACAAGTGCAGAAATGCTTGCAAGTTTTTGCACGATGCGAAACAAAAATAAAGTGTAATAACCTATTTTAATCTGATTTTCCACATATTCTATAATCCATTATAAAAGATTTCAATTGAATTGTAATGCATTATGTTGTTACGAGAAAAAAATGAATTCATATCCCTTTTTAGTCCAATTTTCTTTTGTCTGGCCGTAATATGGAAATCGATTATATTGACAATATTTTAGACTATGAAAATCCAGTATATTCTATTTTTTTCTCTTGTCTGAATTGCGGGTTTATTTGATTTCAGGGAGTCGATTTTTTCAATGTGTTGTACAAAAAATTGTATTAAAAGCTACTAATTTGATCGCCGAAATATTACAAAATGAAAAACACCTCAAGCAAAAAATATTCCGTTTTCTTTGAAAGTCGGAACAATAATCAGAATTATAAATAATAATATTAATCATAATCAGAAAAATAAATTGTTTTCAGGCTCACTTTCAAACATGTACAACGTTTGGTATATATTATAACCCGTTGTCAACTGCTATATTAGCAACGCTATATATTGAGGAACTCAACCGACGCAAAAAAGGATCTCTACAACGATTTCCAATCTCTTATGATTTGCATAGTTTTGACCAACTTCATTGAGTGAAGTTCCGTTCGATTGTGGTCTCTACTCAATAAATCTATTATATTTCGGCCGAATCGAACGTACTCTGTAGTTTGGATGTCTCAATAAACAGAAAATTTCATTTTTGTTACATGAAAATTTTATTGCACGATTATTTTTACCGACAAATTTTTGTCTCTCTGATTTTGTCTCAGATTATATGCGGTCTATTCTTGAGTTTAGTTTTATGCTTCGACTTTGAATTCGATTGTTTCAACTTTGTGTGCGAATGCTTCTATTTTGAGTTCGACTTTATGCTTGACTGTGTCGACTAAGTTTTGATACTATACTTCTCTGTTTCAAATTTTCGTTCGACAGAAAGGCTGATTGTGCAACTCAGTTGGGGTCGGATTAATTTCTAGTCTTGAGTCAAACACCTCAACCTGGCTTTTGGAATGACCTCTGAAATATCGTTATTAAAGTTATCGTTATTGTACAGTTAATTTGACGAAAGCATAAGCAGCAACTAAATCGTAAGCTGCGATTCATTTTGGCTCAAAAATTGTTCTGAAATTAGTTGAAGCGAGCTACTTTCCGTTTTTCAGTTATGTTTTTGGGAGCTGCTTAACAATTTACCCTTTTTCAGAAAGGGGGTTGTTGTTAAGTAGAGTAGGTTTGTCGATTTTTTGATAAATCAGAATGCAGAAACATTATAATTCTCCATGCAAAGCTCTAGCGCTAATTTACTATATTTATCCATAGGGGTGCAGTTTCTTAAGTAGATACCATAGAAGGGAGGGGGGGGGGGGGGGTTGATAAGTAGATTATATTTTTGCAATGACTGATTTGTTTGAAGATTGAACAATAATTTGAATTTCTTTGGCGTAATTAACATTTTTAACATAGCCATCTAACGGTTGGAAAAGAGTAACGAACGCAATGAAACTGAAAAAAGAACTGAACTGTTTTCTCGAAAACTTTCAACAAATAATAGATGGCCTTGTAACTCTTTATGATGGACACTTTTCTGTTAAAGTTAACCCAGTTTGAGAAAACAGGATCAATAGGCAAAACATTTATTTCGCTGGGAAATCTGATAATTAGTTTTCATTTTCGAAATTAGAAGTCGATCACCTTTTATGAGACTTTTCTCTTTTTTCTGTTCGATAGTGGCGTTTGTCTTACTTTTAACTCTAAAAATGCACTGAACTTGATAGTAAATCAGAAGTCAAACTGCAAACAAAAAATAAAATTGAGCGTGAACAAATTTTAAAGATTTTTTCCTGAAAAAAAAAACAAAAAAATCAGCAAGACCTATAAAAGAGTAATCACTGCGTTCATTAATCTTAAAAAGTAGCTAAATTAATGCTATTTTTTTGAAAAAAAATTAAAAACAAGAAAGTCTGAAATTTGTTTCGATTCTTTAAATTTAATTTTAGCTTTTCTATTAGCAATTAATGACTAACCTGTTTCTAGATTAAATTTTAGCTTTAAATAGTTTTTTGACAAAAACAAAAACATTTTTTAAGAGGTAGCTAATATAATGGAAGAAATTTTGGAAAAAACTGCTTTTTAGCCTGTGGACAAAACTAAAACACCTAAAACTATAATCGACTTCAAGTGAAAATTGTCATTTCTGGGCTCAAACCGTGGAGGAGATCATTGGTTCCGCTCATTTGCTTTTGGATAACGTCAATTCTTCAAATTTCCATATCAAAGCTTATTGAAACTTTAACAATTGACAGCATGTTTTTATGGAAAATTTAAACATATTGAGTATTTCGAAAATTTTGTAGTTAAAAAACAAGAATAGCCGGTTTTTGTGGAAATGACAAAAATAATTTTGCTTCAAGTAATCTTTGCGGGATAAATTCTCAAAACAAAACTAAATCCGAAAGAAAAATTGATTTTTTTTTGCAAAAAACTAAAAGGTCAAATTTAAGTTTTAAAAAAGTTTCACCCCAAAGTTTTTGAATTTCATGAACTTTTAATCAAACTTCCTGCTGATGCTGATAAAACTAACCCAATTTTAAATATCTATAGTTTTTCGTTCCGAACATCATATAGTTGTTCATTCGGAACGCTGAAAACTTAAGTAAAAACTCAGTTTTAACAAGAAAACATTGGCGTTTTTCAGCATCTGTGACCGCGATGTTATTCAGGAGCGAAATTAATTTTTTTGTGGCAAATAAATGAATTGTCTCAAATCGAATGAGAGTGTATATAGCTGTAAAGATGTTTTTTTCCTGAAAAAAAAACGGTATAGAATAATAAACGGTATAGTCAATAAAACATGTGTTCTGTTTATAATTTTAAAAGTTAAAACTGCTTGCAACATTCAATTTCATACACATAGTCAAAAAAATATGTATATATTCATATCGGAACACAAAACAAGGAGTTATAATGATATAAAGTTAAAAATTTGCATACAAATTATACACATTTTGTGATTATTACTGCGGCATTATTTTTGGTTTTACTTCTTTGATGATGAAAGTTTTGTCACACTTCGATGATGAATGGGTTTTCAATGCCCCCACCCCCCAAAAAAAGCTAGTAGACTTGCTTGCCACAACCTAAACAGTTCCTTTTTCATTCGAGCTGTTCATATGGAAGCGTTCTAAGAACCATGGCGTTTTCTTTAAAAAATGTTAAAATTATCTTCCGTTTGTAGTATAATTGTTTGAGACTCTCTTATTCTGTATGATATATGCCACTGTAACAGTGACATGTATCAGTAACCCATCTATCATAATCAAAGTTTTTCCCTTCCTCCAACATTGACCGCCTGTTGTGCCTGATGGTTGACGTGTCACTCACTTCACCAGACCGTGTCCTGCTCCTCGGTGGTGGGTCTCTTCAGCTCCACGATGTTGTTCTCATACTCCGCCCACTTGTTCAGCTCCAAGGAGAAGTGCTGTCTCTCCCTCAGAGAGAACCGGAAGTAGTCCCGCACGAACTTGCACGTCGTAGGACAGGGCTAGATGATAAATCATTCAATTCTGTTTTCATAATTTGTCGTTTTGTGCAATGGCTGAACAAAACAAGGATAGCCAGTTACTGTGCAAGTAGCACAGAATGTTCCGACTATAGTCTTAAAAAAAAATTTCAAATTATTGTCGTTTTTTTTCGGGGTGGTGTGATAAAGGCGCTGAACAAACAACTGATAATTACTTATGAGCGACAGTTATAGTAAAATATGCAAATTGAAAACCAATTTTTGACGAAAAATTAATAGAAAAACGAAAAAAAAAATGAAAGTTTTTTCCAATTTTTTCTTGCAGTTTTTGAGTTTTTGAAAATTTTCGATTTCAAAAAGGCGCTAAAATTTTAAAAGTAAACTAACGTTACCTAGGTTTAAAAAAAATTTCACCGATTAAATTAATCTATTGTAAGCTTTTAAGCAATTAAAATAAGACTGCTCGCACGCCTCATTCGCTCGAAATATGATGAAAAACCAAAATATTCAAACCGGTTTTTCTGGACACTGGAAAAAATTTTTTGAAATTTTGTAAGATGGGTGAAATAACGACTGCAAGGGCTTTCAAATGATACCAACCCATTCCGATAATTATTTGTGGTACCTGATTTTGCGTGGAAAACAAAAAGAAAAAAACTAAAACACACCCGAATACAAAGTTCCTCCCCACTTTCGATGGCCGGAGTAAGACTAAACTGCCTATTAATATGAAATATAGCTATTGAACTGATGATGCTCACACCACTGGAACTTAAAATTGGAGCTTAAAATCCAGGTGACTTTACAACACATCGCAGTGATGCCAGTAGAGCATTAAAGAGCATGTGTTTATCTCAAATTCATTAGCGTACTGAGGGGGTGTGGTCCTTCAATCTGGTCCAGTTTCACAGCAGCAATTACTGCCTGACGAACTCTATAACTTTTCAAAAGTCGCTTTTTGAGGACACTATCAACTTACCGTCAAAAACGTCCAAAAAACGCTCAAAATCGCAATTTTTCCAAAACAGTGCCTATGGCGCAAAAAATTTGCAACATGGTTTTTCCTGGGTTTGTGCTGAGCTCCAAAAATCCAAAATAACTAACCTAGAAAATGTTCCATAAATTTCTCCTGCTTAAAATATCGTTGGCGCTCCACTGCTAAATTTTGATTTCTTTTGACAAATTTGTGTCATTTCGATAAAAGAGGGGACAAAAATTTTTCAACCAACAAATTGTGTCCCATGAAAAAAAACAAATGTTTCTCTTTTGGCTTAACGATAAGTATGTAGCATACAATTTTGATTTAGTAGTGAAACTTTGGTGTCCAATTTATGTTTAAATAAGCAGAATGGTTTAAGAGCAGAATGGGTCCAAGAGCAAAAAAAAGAAAAAATAATAATTTTCATAAGTTAATCGGTAAATTAAGTATAAGAATTATCAATTTTACCAAAGAAACTAGTATTTTTTGCATGGTTTGTGTAATTCAATCAAGATTCAAATTTTTTTAAAAAATAAATGAAATTATTCAATTCATTCACAATTCAATCATTTTCTAGGTCTTATTGGCGATTCTGGGAATAGTTTTTATCAAATAGCCCGTATAAATAAAAAAACACGTTATCATCTTTCTGATTTTCTGCTCTTAGACCCTATCTGCTCGTAGACCATTCTGCTTATTGCTCTGACTCCCTCTATTTTGATCTCTGAATTAAAGTAGCACTTTCCAGCGCTTGCAGTAATTGTCGTTCTTTCTTCTTACATAATCATAGGCAAACTTTTAACAAGGTCACGTCAAGCTAAACTAACCGCGAAAAACTAAAAAAAAGTATGTGCTTAAAACGTGTAATTAGTCAATTGTTCATTCAGAGAAAAAAATAAGGTTTGAAAAAACCAATCTGGTGGAACCAGGGGCGGATCTAGGGTTTTCTCGAGGGGGGGGGGGGGGGCGGATTTTCAAAAAATTTTCGAAAATTTTGACGACCTTTTTTTAGGTCGACCAAATTGATTTTTCGAGCTCTCCCCAAGCACGGTTTTGTCGTAATTTTGGCGAAATTTTTTGCACCGCAGGCAAAATTTTGAAAAAACAGGCAAAAAAAGGCGTTTTTAGGCACTTTTTGGAAAATTTTGACCAAAAAATTGCGTTTTTTCGGCGCGTGGCCCCCCCCCCCTAAAAATTAGTATATATTGGCGCCGAAGGCTTCTTAAGAAAAATTTTAAGGTCGGTCTGCCAAAAATGGATTTCTTAAAAAGTATCAAAGGGGGGACCCTTTGGGTCGGCAGGGGGTCGAATCCCTGAGAACGGATTATTTAGATCAAAAATTTCATTTTTTGATAATTAACGAAACCAAATTATCTTTAATTTCATTTGATAAAATCATCTGGTTTCTTTACTTGACAACAACGAAAAACATAAGCTGTAAAAACATAAACAAATAATCAGGCTAGTTCATTGAAGACATGTAGACCGCTAGAACGTACCCATTTGAACCAAATTTTATGGACTAGGTAACGAGCCAAACAAATTTCCACTGACCATAGATTCGTTTTTAAATGACATTTTTTTCAAAAACTGTTTTATAACTGCTATTTTGATCATCTTCATCCAAAATTATAATGAATGGTTGGGATTTTAGATCTCAGAAATTAGTAAAACCATTGGTTCAAAAGGCAGTCTCAAACAAGATCTTACTCAACCCGGAAAATATCTCAGAACTACAATCTTTCTTGAATTCAAAAATCCATGTATGAAATTTTTCCCAAGTTTGTTAATGTCATGTCCACCATTGCGCCCTTTTAAAACCAAAATCGGCAAAACTTAGGAATGAAACTCGCTCGAAAGCATTGGATCAGTTAGATACTTCAATTAAAATTATCAATAAAAACAATCGCTTTGACAGAAAAAGTTTCACCGTTGAAGACGGACGCCTAGCTTAACGGACTGGGGGACTTGAACAAGGGGACAAATAATCCTGGATCACAATATCATCCACCTCTCAGACTTCTAAAAACTCATGAAATGAAAAAATCTACAAACAAAAGAAAATTACTAGAAAAGGTGTCGGCAAGTGATTTACAGAAGGTATTTATATTGATCTTAAACTGAAACCATACAACGCATTGAAGCCCAATTATCCGCATTAACGATGAGCTACGAAGAAAAAACAGCAAAAAAGGTTGAAACACTGCTAAATAAATCGTTAACCTGTAATTTCAAAAAACGTCAAATCTCTTCTGGAAAAATTTGGGCAAAAAGTCTACCCATCTCACTTGGAAAATTCAACAACTATTTCAATAAGCAGAATCCATATAAACTTCTGCGTAAATATCAGAAAAAAAGGGCTGCATAAAACAAACTGTATGTAGAAAATCTATTACACGCAAAACTTGCAAAAAATATAACTCGCTTTGATACTACACAAACGTCTGGCGGAAACTGTGAATATTTAAAGCACAACCATCTGTCATTTTTGAGAGTTTTCTTAGCAAACTTGCAGATCCAATTGGACTTTGTAATTCAAATCACTATCAATTAGGATTCAGTAAAAGCAGGTGCAACCTTTTGGAACTTTCAAATTTCAAATTTTGTCGGACAAGTGTATCTTAACTTTACTAAACTCAAGTCTTTGTTTTCAACCCAATTATGAACTCAACAGATGAAAACGAGCTAATTTTCTTCCAATCTATTTCTAATTCAGAAAAAAAATCATCATTAATACTGAAAAACTGATTGAAAAAAGGTCACGTATTCAACAGCTAAGGAAAAAGAGCCGATCGTAAGTTACCGTCCCATCCAATCTCGTTCACCGACCGCTGCTCGAACAAACTGATTGAGTCAATAATGATGGACTGCAAAATCCTGAAAAAAGTCAAAACTGAAGTCAAGTTATGACAACCCCTGAGCAAGTTCGGAGCCTACAAAAATACATTCAAACTTGACCTGCTCATGAAGGTCGGATTGCTCTTCAGCGATGACAAGCTCGTGGTAACGGGAGTCTTGCGTTCTTCTTACGTGGTTTTGCCTCAGGAGACATTCAGGAAAGTTATAGATGAAGTTTCTGGCAAAAAGTATCTAGTGGTCGCAATTTTACAAGTGAAATTTAGCATCACGAAAACAAACTGTTCGGAAAGTTTAAAAGCTGGTGAGAAATTTAAAGTAATCTTGCGGGTTTCAAACACGCACAAAATATCAAAAATTAAGAATGGGAGAGAAGGAAACAATTTAGACTTCGCGGGCCTGTTGAAAAAGCCTTCTGGCGGATCAGATCGAATTCTTTTTTTTATCAATCGTTACTCGAAAATTCCCCCGATGTTAAGCAGTACCACGACTCGACTCGTTTTTTTTTCATATCCGATATTTAAAATCCTCGTGGATTTCCAACATCTGTTAGAGTAGATCACGATTCCTGTTTGATTTCGAATGGTTCTCCAAATTTCTGCAAGAAGAGTATTTTTAACGTAATTTTATGTACAGTATGGGCTGATAGATCCAATTGAGTGGTAGAACGGATTATTTAGATCAAAAATTTCATTTTTTGATAATTAACGAAACCAAACTATCTTTAATTCCAATTGATAAAATCATCTGGTTTCTTTACTTGACAACGAAACCATCAATCGGAAGAACACCTTTCATGAAACATTTCAACAGATCACCTAACCCTTTTTGAAACTTGGTCTTATACAATTTTTATAGATAAAGTGATGTCAATCATATCAAACACAAAAGCATAAGACTGGGCGGAATTGATCAAATATAAATCAAATAATCAATGAAAACTCGCAAGAAAAAACAGGATGTCCGAAAAAGAGACGGAAAAAGCGGAGAAAAAACATTTCCGTCAAACGGAGAGCCCCACTACCAAATCTCTTTACACAAGAAGTTAAATGGTCTAGAAAAACGTTTAACCAAAATGAGGCTTATTTCAGATCTTTAAAAGAGAAAGGTATTCAGGACGCTGACCACAAAAAAAAACAATCGACAACAGAAGCACTATCACAAAAAAAGACTTAGCTTTTAGACAAAGAAATTCCAACTTTGTTCACTCCTAAAACTAAACCATTGGTGAGCATCTTTAGTGTAACAGGAAACAGGAGGAGAAACTCCGTGACTAAAAGACAGAACTCTGGACTTGCAGAGCCCTCATTTAGCAGACAAATTGAAAAGATTTGGTCAACAAGGAGGAGGACATCAACAAAAGATCATAATTGACCAATTATTATTTCTGCTTCTATTTAGATAAATCAGCGTCCTTAGAGTTTGACTAGGATAATGTTTCATGCAACTACTTGTCAAAGGAACCTTGTGTTACTCTAAATTTCAAACTATCACGTCTGAAAGCTAATTGGAGAACTCCCGGCACTCAACATTTGACGATCACTAAAAAGCGGACAACCAAACAACACCGTCAAAGGGTACAGCGGCAAACTGTATATCATTAGCGTTCTCCAAAGAATTACCAGACGATCTTCAGCTCCTTCAGCCCATCAGCAAACTCTTCTAGACTTTCGTAGAATTGCTGAACCACCTTGTTTCTTTGGAGAAAGATGTTTTGTAGACCGAGTATTGTCGACTTAAAGATTGGCGATATACTTAGAGAAGGAGTCAGAGCGACCGTATGTCGATGTGATTGTTTTAAACAGGACTCCAGCGAAAGATAAACCACACAGGCCCCCACAAAATCCACTCCTCTTCAGATCTCTTGATTCCAAAGCTACTCGCATCCAAACACAAGACCAATGTAGAGGAAACGACCGAAGATACAGCTTCTTCAAATTTCTCGATAATCCCACCATGATAGCACTGGTTCGATTTTGGCTGACGCCCGGGTCGAGATCCCGCTCAAAAACCGCTCAAGATATGAGCGGTTTGAGCGGTTTTCCAGCAAGATTTGAGCGGTTTGAGCGGTTTGGGCGGTTTTTTTGGAAAAACCGCTCAAACCGCTCAAATCTTGCTTAAAAAACCGCTCAAAAACCGCTCATTTCTTGCGGTGATTTTTGAACGGTTTTTCAAGCAACATTTGAGCGGTTTTTAAGCGGTTTTTGAGCGGTCTCATAAAGAAAACTGATTAAACTGTTCAGAGATTGCACGTCTTATGGGGTAAGTTTAAACGCTAATTGAGCCTCATTTGAGTTTTCAAAAAATGCTTATCTTACAATTTCCATATATGAAAAAATGCTTATCGTACAATTTCCATATATGAAAAAACGTTTACCTACAATTTCCATATATGAAAAAATGTTCATCCTACAATTTCCATATATGAAAAAATGCTTATCCTAGAGTTTTTTTTTTTTTACAATTTTCTGAGTCTATGAAACTGTAGGAGTTTATAGGATAGGCATTTTTTCATATATGGAAATTGTAGGACAAGCATTTTTGGTCAACCCGGGAATTTAAAAAATGTGCTCAACCGTTCTCAACTCAACCAAAATTTTTTTTCGATGTCTTGACCTAAAACAATGTGAGTGACTTTTTTCAAATGCTCGAGCAAAATAACCAATGGAAAGTATGTAAGTATGTGTATGTACGTATGTATGTATGTATAAAAAAAAAATTTTTAAATTTTTTTAAATTCATTAAGATTTGAGCGGTTTGAGCGTTTTTTTTTTCGTTAAGCCGCTCAAAACTGTTCAAATCTTGCGCGGTTTTTGAGCGGTTTTTTTAGATAAACCGTTCAAAAACCGCTCAAACCGCTCATTTTGAAGCAAGATTTTGAGCGTAATTGTCTAAAAAAACCGCTCAAACCGCTCAAATCTTGCTTCAAATTAGGTGAAAAATCTCGACTCGGGCGTAGATGATACTACTCAAGAACTTTTTGCCTGGCGATATGTTTTCAGTCACATACACAAAAGTCAGGGCAAAAGCAGACTTTTTCCACATTAAATTCAACAATGCATTGAGACTGTCATAAAATCGAACTTCTAGGGTTTTGTCTTTGGCAAATATAGATTTTGTAGATCTGTTTTATCCAAAAATAAACCAATTTTAGCTTACAATCAGTTATTTTTTTACATTTTTACCTCAAACTGATAGCAAATGTTGTTATTAATTTATTTCTATTTGAATTGTAATCATTCAAAAAATATATCTTAATGAAATACTTTTTTTGGTATATAAACTGAATTCTGAAAACTTATTTTAATTGTTTTTTGATGAATTCCGTGGTGCTATAGTAGAAAGGTTTGACAATTTTTGTTTCAAATGTCGTTCGTCCGTGGGGTGAAGGGACAAAGGAGTGCTAAATTGGCTACCATTCAGTTGTAAGGATACAAAAAATCCCCTGCATCGAGGAACGTTGTGAATTGTGTTTTTCTTGTGGTTGAAAAATGATATTCATTTCCTTACCTTTCCTTGTAACTATTTGAAATCTAGTAGATTTGCACAAAAAAAAACACATTCAATTCAAGTTTTTTCTTTTACTAAAATTGTCGTTACTGTTATATGACCAAATAGTTAAGAATAAGAAATCAGCGGAACATTCATGAAAACTTTCTAACAAAAAATGAGAGAAAATTGGCTCAATTGCTTGGATCTGAGATATGAACACAGTCAGCAAAAACTTTGTTAAACACAAACAACAATGATGTTACAACGGGTCTTGTACCCATTTTTAAAGGAAAGTCCGTTCACAAACTGTTTCTTGATAGCTATTTTGATTGCGTCGAAAGGATCATTAGAGCAAATTTTTAAAGAATATCAAATTCATCAGAAAACAAGAACATGGTAGAGAAAATGGAAATTTTTGTGTTCATCCAAAAAAAAACATTGAATGTTTGGGGATTAAGATCTCAGATATGATTAAAACCATTGGTTGGAAAGACAGATTTGAACGAGATATGGTTTTTGTTGCGTTGCGAAACGATCTACAGGGGAAACCCGTCGAATATCTAAGCACTTTATCCATACTTGGGCATGCAGTAAAAGTTCAGAATTGATCAGTTCTCATGTTATAGTGAAGAAAAACAAAGAATAAAATTTTCAGTCAAAACAACCATGAACGCAAAAAAATTGTTGAGAAAACAAAACAAATTTACAAAAATTGGGGTTCATTTTAGAAGAGAATGCATGATCAATTGAATTTTCATCTACTGACTTTTTGGATCAATTTCGTTTAAATCTCTTTAAAATAATTTCATCACTGTTAGCCCGGGTTTGCCAACCTATAAAAATATCCCCTATCTTAGAACTTTTCATGAGATTTATTGGAAAGTTTAGCTATCTTAAGTCTTTCTGATAAGAAGTTGCAAGACTCTATAAAAAAATTTCTTTGATAGTGAACTTTTTTCAACCTGGGAGGCTAATTATTTCAGGTTTATTCCATCTAAATAATTAAAATGTGTTCACAATTTTTCTTTTAACGTTTCAGCTCAGTTATCTGACCTCTATCGCAAAGTGCTTCAATGGGAAAATTTATTTTCTCGAACTTGGGCCAAACAAGCAAAAAATGAGACTTTAACGAACAAAATTAGAGAAGATAGATGATAATTTTGTATTGGGAAGGCTGAAACAGTTCACAGAAGCGCAAAGGCGAACAAAAACTCCCGAGCGAATGATACGACAACCCGGTGAGACACGCAAACAAATGGATCTGAAAAAGAGAGACTACAGGGGATACCCAGTAAAACTTCAACAAACTATTCAAGGCTGCTTTAGAGGCATAGATTTACACTGGCGAGCTGAACGTCATGTTCCCCAATCTACCCGTTGGTAAAAACATCATTGGGCTTATTCAGAATCAAATTCAGAAAAATGCGTTGGTTTTCACGAAGACTTAAAAAACTAGTTAAAAAATTACTTCGGGCTCAAACAAGTAAGACGACAGAATAAAAAACAGACATATTTTGTCGAGCCTCGAGGTTTTTTGTTCCTCAACCAAACCAAACAGAAAGTTCAAAAAAATGTACACAAATATATACAGAAAAATTAATTTTCCGTTGACGTAGAGCTATGGTACTGTGCATGTGCGAAAACTATGTTTTTATCATATTATTTAATGATTGCGCGGTATTATCAAGGTCTCTTGTCGCTGACCTATCATTGGGGCTGAAATCGGCGTGACGTTGAAATACGTTATGTAAGTTTTGAGTGAGTCGAACTTTTAACAAAATCACTCTAGCTTAAGAGTCCAGATTTTCAGGTATCACAAGAGACTAAGTTACTCGTGCTTTGATGTTTTGCTCTGCGAGACCCACACGAGTACCCAACAGTGGAGTTTTTTTTCAAAATTGATATGGGTAATTTCAAAAAACGAAGGGAAGCAATTCGATGCTCTCATTTTTCAGACCACGAAAAATTGCCTCCCCGAATCACTAAAAATGAAAACAAACTGAACTAAGTATGATTATTTTGAAAAACTACACACTTCGCCGCCATCCCTGGTGTGAACACTTGATAGTTACTGCAGCAATTGTGCAAACCTGGAAGTTGATGTAGTTCTGACTAGTGGTGGTGACGATGTTCATGATGCAGGTGGGCTCACTGGACAGGGACATCTGCAGACAGCTGTTTTGGAAGCATACATAGCACTCCCTCGATATATACAGGTTGCCCGCCTTGTAGTGGTACAGGTCACCTAAACACAATAAATCATCCTAACATCATTCTCCTTCTTGTCAAACACTTCTTTTCTAAATAGAAGCATGAACTCATTCAGAAGCTCCATAAGTTACTGCGAGCAACCAGTGAAACAGTAGTGGATTTCGGAAAAGGGAAAGCAAACGCATCTTCCCACAAGGTTTTTGCTTGATACCAACGAATAGATCAGCGCCTGATCGCAACAATTAAAACTAAATATCATTTTCTGCAGTTTATAGACTTTTCTAACTCAACTTAATTCTACTTCGGCCCAAATTCGATGCTTGACTTTCATTGACCCTGAGCACACTTTGTAGGATTGATTTGCCTACGATCTCGTCGTTTTTCAATAAAACGCGGATTTAAGGGGGGGGGGGGGGGAGGGTTCCGGATTCTCATTCAGGAAATTGACCCCAAACGCAGAACTAAAAATCCTTTTTTTTCCTCAAAAAAATTCAAATGGCACCAGTTCTTTTGGTAGCTCAAATCCCATTGCTTGTTTTCAGTTTTAACTTTACTTTATAGAAAGTTTGCCGATCAACTCAAGTTCATTGAGATACTTCGTTTCCCTCAGTTATTTTTGTAAAGAGCAGAAATTGAAGAAAAAACATAACATAAACTCGTCATATAATTTGTCAATAACATATAATTCGTCATATATAATACAGTGCTGATTTAAATTAACCGAACAAAACGCGTTAAACTTGAAATTTAAAGTCCGTTTTTCTCAAATTGGGTTGAAATTAGGTGAAAACTTATGAAGACAAAACTTGCTTAAAATTTTAGCAGAATTAATATGGTGTAATTTATTTTGCAAAATTCGGGCCCGAAATTTTAGCCCAAAAATTGGTCATTTTGGCTTTCCTTAGTTATCAAAAATTACGCTTACCAAAAACTACGCCGAAAATACCAAGTCGATCAAAGACATAATTATATCAAAGTGAGCCCCCTACGTAGCCCAACAAACTTTATGAAGAGTATTTTCTCCAAAAAATATTGCAAATTAATTAAAAATTGTTTTTAAATAAAAAGTTGGTATTTTATATAGTAAAAACGACCTTTTTTGTCTATCAAACAAAAATAAATTAACTTATACAATTTTTTGGAGATTATACCCTTCTTAAAGTTTGTTGGGCTACGTAAGGGGCTCACTTTGATATAATTATGTCTTTGATCGACTGGGTATTTTCGGCGTAGTTTTTGGTAAGCGTAATTTTTGATAACTAAGGAAAGCCAAAATGACCAATTTTTGGGCTAAAATTTCGGGCCCGAATTTTGCAAAATAAATTACACCATATTAATTCTGCTAAAATTTTAAGCAAGTTTTGTCTTCATAAGTTTTCACCTAAACTCAACCCAATTTGAGAAAAACGAGTTTTAAATTTCAAGTTTAACGCGTTTTGTCCGGCTAATTTAAATCAGCACTGTATTAAATTTATTTAAAGTAGTGCAAAAATCCAACAATATAAATCATTTATCGTTGAATGAGCACCAACTTGAGCAAGCGCAGAACGTAATTCAACCTGTTGAAGCGCCGCTGAGAACTTTCTATTAAGTACTGTCTTCTAGGTACAATAAGTACTATTGGTTAATCTATGTACCATTTAACCAGAAAAAAGTTTATTGATTAAAAGAAATTCAAATTTTGAACTCTTATAGTTTATTAGTATATTTATCTCGCATCTTATTAATATATTCTTTCGGGAATTTATACGAGCAAAAAATTGGTGTAAACATGTGACTTCATATGAATCAAAATGAGCATCAAATTAAGAAATTTGACAAAAAAAAAATAAATATACTGTAATGAAAACGAAAATTATCTGCTCAAAACTAAACGAATTGCTTGAAAAGCTTCAAAAAACTGAGCAAAAAATCCATGTTTAGCAGTAAAAAAAATTTGAAGTACAAAAGCGCCAAAAATTGAATAGCGTGCAACTATACCAAAAAAAGTCGAAAAGTTATAAGAGGTGCAAAATTTCTATGCATTCTATGCTGAGGCGAAGGCAAGAAAATAAAATCAAATACAATCTAGTTTTTTTATTCGAATCAATCAAATCATCTGAGGTTAGATGTTATGCTATCTGCAATGTGAATAAAAAAAGCTCTGATAAAGATACTGATTCAATCGAACCTTTGGGAGTTTTTTCAGAGTCCAAGCTGCGCAAAATTAACTTATTTTGTGGGACATCTGTTGATTATGGAGGTTTTTTGAAATCCTATATGTGCCAAATTCTTAGAGTTTCAGTTGTTTGGACCGGAAGCCTTCGAAAAATATCTGTATTGAAAAAATAGTCAAATTTTGTTTTAATTTTTGAATGTTTTTTAAAAAAGAAAGAGAAGAAGTTTGATTGTTCTGGGATTTTTCTTATAACATTTTTGCTTTTAGCTTCGCAATTAAAAATTGGGAATATAATTTTAACTACCTTTGGAAAAAAAAACTTACGCAAAGCCCCCAGTTCCTGTTTTACCGACCACTGCATTGAGGAGGCTGTAGAAACTATACTCGGTAGCAGCAGAAAACTGAAGAGGAAGAGAATCAACTTAGCACCTAGCGCTGATTTCATTGCAAATCTAAAAAGAAGAAAAATTTAGAAGTCGCAGCAATCATGGCAATTTGATCACAGGAAATGATACACTAGTGGACAAAATTAAGGGCAGTTCAGGATTTTACTCTGTAAAATGCCTGTTTGCAATAAACCTTTTGGACATCATTTGCTTCGAATTTCGGTAAAATTGATACATTGACCGAGAGCAAATGATCAGAACTACAATCTGTGAAAGTATCAAAATTTATTTTCAGTGACTCACCAATGTAATCCGGGTCTGAAAACTCCAGTTTTCCTCACCTGCACAATTTGTTCACGCAACGCGAAACATTCTCAAGGAGAAAGCGGAAATAATCAGTGTGAAATTTTACTAAACTTAGACGTTTGGTACTTATTCACGCGAAGAAAAAAACTTAAGACAGGTGAGGAAAACTGGATTTTTTAGACTCGGATTACATTGGTAAGTCATTGAAACCAAATTTTGAAACTTTTGCAGATTGTAGCTCTGATCAATTGCTCTCGGTCAATGTAAAAACTTTATTGAACTTCGAAGGCAACGTTTTCCAAAATACACATGAAAACGATCATTTTGCAAAGTATAACCCAGAATTTGCGCTTAACTTTGTCCACTAGTTTACTTGCATAAATTAATATACGCTGTTATCAACATTGCGAGTGTAGTACTCTAACGAAGACAAGAGGTGAGTGCACACCAATGATACAATAATAAGAAAGAAAAATTATACCAAAATCTGGACAAAAATTACCAATTGAGTTTTTGTCACTTTTTCACAAATTCAGTACAGAAAAAATTTGAGCTAAATTTTTGGTAAAAGTTAAAAAAGAGTGAATGGGCATGTTTGAGCAAATGATTGCTTCATTGATGCAGTGCATATATCGTAAAAGTGTACCACTAACACTCATTTTTGTCATCCAGGTTTTGGCTCTCAAAATCTATACAATTTTTTAAGATGATTTGATGTATTTTAAGCCTTACTTTTAGTTGACGGCTTGATGCATGTCATTACTTGCAGAAACTATTGATTTTATTCAGCAATTTCTAAGCTTGGTTAAATGTGATCAAAAACTGCTGAAGAACGAGAAAATCACGAGCTGTTATTTCCTATGACTTCTATGTCGCTGCGTTTTTCCAATGGCTGACTAGAACCAAATGCATCATTTTTGCGAAAATGATGAAAAACACGTACTTTTGCAACACTTCAAAACACAAACTAAAGTGACTCTGTTCAAAGTATCAATGACGCCGTTTCCATGCTGAGCTTGGCTGTGTTTACTTGATAAGCTTTCAAAAAAATTTGAGTCTAAAAAGCTTAAGTTAAAGAAACAGTTTTTTTGACACAGAGATTTTCTCTAAGATATCATTAAGAAAACCTTTTCGCAACTACTCAATCACCTTTCCTGCGAAACCTTCAACTTTTCTATTGAAGAGCCTAAATTGGCTTTCATTCAGCAAAACAGTCATCAACTGAATTTGAAGATCAAACTTAAAGAAATCAAAATTTGAAATCTCGAAAAAAAATGAGCAAAATAGCTTTCAAGAATATTTCCTGAACAGTTCTGTTATCTTTTTACTTGTTCTGTGTGAGTTTTCGTGTTTCATGAAGTGTCGTTGTACTGAAACATAATTGAATAGTTTTTGAAAAGAAAAAATATAGAAACATAATTAGTTTTTCAATTCAATGCAACATTGTTTCTATCAAAATTTCTTATGATTCGATAATCTGATGGCTCAATTTCTAAAATAGCGTTATCGGATTATTTAGTTTGCTCCGACTGATTTTGCCTTTTTTTAAATTACAACAATTGCCTATAATCCTTGACAATTTGGAAGCTAGGGTTTCAATTATTGGCAATAAAAGATGGCATGAAAATTTGAGAGCAAAATTTTTTCCAACCAACGCAAAAAAAAAACAAATAGAAAAATTTTTGTATGAATTTTTAGATATCCCAATCTACATTAAATGTGATAAATATTTAACAGTTCATCATCAAAGATTTGAAAAACTCCAAATAACAAAAAGCACCACTTGGCTATTTCCATCTCAAAAAAATTTTAACATTTTAACATTTCTAATGTTAAAATTCTTCTTTGTTCCAATTATGGTTGATCTTTTTCTACAGCAAGTACGTGACAACGTTTTCATGCAGTCACTCTCTAAAAATTGATATTGAAAACTTGAAACAAACAAAGAGCTAGAACAAAATGCTGGTTTCAGGGAGACTGCCTCAATCAACTTTGAACGTTTTAATGTCTGTGGAGAATTGCTCAATTATAGAAAAAATGGGATCAACAGTGCAATCTCCACTCCCCCTAATCGATTTTGGGGGAATAAAATAAAGTTTTCTGGTTTTTCATAAACCAACTTTGAGAGCAAACAAAATTAATTTAAATAACCAAAAAAATTATTTCAAAATTAATTATGAATTAAAGTTTTGTTAATTAACGGTTTAGAATACTGATTCCTTTTGAAAAGTTATCTCAAGCAGTTTATTCTGCGCTTTTTTAAATGATTTTATACGAAATCTACTTTCAAAATTAAAACGTGGCTAAGGGGAAGATTCGTGGGGGGGGGGGAGAGATTCTACGGTAGGTCACTTAGGGGAAGGGGAGATTGTAAGATTGATGCAAAAATTGCTGGCAATCTCATAAGATAACGCCCTACACGATATCAAAAGCAGCAAGTGAATTATTTACTAACAGATTAAAATAGTTAACGTAATAAGTACAACATTTAGCATGCCTCGAACTAAGCATTGGAATCATGATTAATATCGCAAGTTTAGACTCCCAAATTGGCCAAACTGGCAACTTTCAAACCATCAATTTTTTTTCGAAAAGTGATCATAGATCTATTTTTGCTCTATGTTGTCCTATGAAAAATTTTTTATTCAAAAAATTATGAAACTAATAGAAATGAAAACTATATACCTTTTCAAACTTTTCCCGATCTCAAATTCACGCAACAGTCAAAACTTTTCAGTTTAACTACAGATATTTTCCGTTAAGACTACTGTACTCTATTGATCAATTAAAAATGTGGCGACTCAAAATCAATTACCACACACTGGATTTACATAGGATGCGTTTGCAGTCAATGGAAGAACGAGTTAAGTCGGAAGACAAAATTAAGTTTAGACTTTGTTAAGGTGGAATCCCTCATGCGCGAAGGACGAATGAGCGAAAATAAAAATCAGCCAATCAGATTTCAGTAATCTAAAATTTGGAAAGAAATTAAACATTTCCAGGGACTGGAGTATTGATATTGGCCGAATATAAAAACGGCAGAAATATGTAAAATCTTCAAATTGTCATTGACCGCCGCAAAATTAGGACAAATTTTACAGTTCATGAGTTTTTTAATGAAAGACGCAAAAAATTGCTTCATTTAATTCATTTTAACTGAATGGCACCTGTTTTTTTTTTAAATTGACTCTCGGTTAACTTTGTATTCGGTCCTTGGTCTACAAGTTTTTTCGCCCATTTGGTCCTTCGCACATGAGAATATCCCCCCTTTGTTAATGCAAACTGTAATCTTGTAGTTTTTACTTTTTAGATGATTTGGTTTTCAGACACAATTATGGTTGTTGAAGATTTTTTAAAAACTTTGTACGGTTTCTTAAAATCTCAATAAAGAGCATTTTAGCATGGAATCTTTTCTTTGATTATGTGAAAATAGCAATTTTGAGCATGTTTGAAGCTGTTTGATTACATAAAGTTAGCAACAACATTTTAACTCATTTGAGTACATGTCCATTTGAAATTTGGAGTGTAGTAGTCCGCTGATCTAAGGTGAGTTTTTGTCCTTAGTATAACAAAATACCAAAAAACTTAAGCTCAAAGCACCTAATCAAATTGTCAAAAAGGTAAATATTCAGAAATTATTTTGGTTTTGTTTCAATTATTTGAACCAGATAACATTTTAAATTGAATGAGTAATTGCTCCAATCACAGCCAAGTTGATACAATAATGGACAAAATTAAATGCAACTTCAGGTTATTTCTCTTTAAAATGCTTCTTTTCGAGGGCCAATTCAGACACTATTTCCTTCAAATTTCAGTGAAACTTTCACAAAGACCCAGTGCAATTGATCAGAGCTACCCTCAATGAAAGTACAAGAATTTGGTTTCAATGACTTACCCTAAAGTTCGTAAGTACCAGTCTTTTTCATTGTAGTGAACACTTTCTTGAATAAGCGGAGTAAATAAATTGTTTGTACGACGTGAAATATTTCAAACATACGTGAAAATCAAAATGATTAGTGTTAAATTTTACTAAACTCGGCTAAAATTCATTTTTTCACGTGGATTGAAAAATCTAGTGCAAGTGAGGAAGGCTTGCATTTTTAGACCCGGATTACATTGGTAAGTCTTTGAACTTGAATTATGATAGTTCCATAGGGGTAGCTCTGATCATTTGCTCCTGTTCAATACAAAAAAATCGCTGAAAATCAAAGTGAGGGTTGTCCGAAATGGGCATTGAATACAGGCATTTTACAGAGTAGAGTTTTGATTTAGCACCAATTTTTGACCAAGAGTGTGGCAAAACTCTAAAAAAAAGGAAAATGGTTTTGATGTGTGTAACTTATTTTATAATTAGCTAGTTGCGTTGATTTTTAAACCCAGTGTAGTGCTATAAAAGGGGACAAATACGCTCCAACGAGGCGATAATGATCAATTAGTTTTCATACAAAAGTTACCATTTATGTTTCCGGTACAATTGCGCAAACAATTGAAGTGAGTTGAATCCACAAACAAAATTGGAACTGAAACTGTTGCCCAAAGTGAACAAAAAAGCAACTTCAATAGAGAGGAGTATGTTTTTGCTCTTTCACATATGTTCTTTCACGACAAGGCATGAATAAAAAATGAAATATTAGAACGCATGAATGAAAAAAGAAATCATTTGCATAGTTTTGCGCCATTTTCCGGGCTCTTTCACAATTTTCCGGGCTCTAACAATTTTTCGGGCTCTAACAATTTGCCGGCATCCTTGCCCTCAGAAAAGGCAAAAACATACTCTTCAACAGTTAGAATATGGTTGAAGATGGTCTCGGGCAAAAGAGCCGCCATCGGGCACTTCGTGCGCTCAGGCCAGGCTCTTTTTCACTCCGGCATCTTTCAACTATGTTCTAACTACTACAAAACATGGGCATGGTTCAGCAAAATTTTGCTTCACTGCTGCACTGCCCTCACCACTGTTTGTCTGTCAAAATCAATACGTTTCATTTAAACTTTTGATGTGTAAACGTTTATTGTTAGTTGATGATTTAATACAAAGGAGTATAACTGCAGATAATCTTAGATTATTGAACTCTTTCTTAGACTTGAAAAGTTTTGTAAATTATTACTCAAAAAAGAAAAACTTTGGCCATCTCTCACCAAATACTCTGTAGGTTGTTCAAACCTAAAATTCACATTTACACTCAAAGAAAAAAGGTTAATCCCAAAACGATATGAAATTACCTCCTAAAAACAAAACAGCCAACAGGCAGTTGGAAAAGAGTCATTAAACGCAACTAAATTAAAAAAAAAACTGATTACTTTTGCGAAAAAGTCAAAGAAAACGAACTGAACTTCCAAGTCAAAACTAAGAGCCTGGACGTAATTCAAGACTTTTCTTGAGAAACAAAACAAAAAATGACATCTTGACTTATATAAAAGACTGAATTACGTTCATCGACTCTGAAAATTGGTGATACTTTGTAATAGGTGGAAACTTTGAGAACCACTGCGTAAGTAAAATTTTACACTCCTTTTGCCAAAAAGTTTGGCTTTTGAAAAAAAACTATGAATTTTGTTCGAAGTATAACAGCGAGTGATCCATCTATTTAAATTGAACCTGTCACCTATTTAAATATATCATCCATTTGCTTATTCACTTGGTTCAATTTATTCGCACGATTATTATATTACCTTCCTATTTTCTACACTATTTTTTGTTAAAGCATCCTATATATCCATTTTTCTGTTCAACCAATTTCAGCAATATGCACATTAGTTTTCAATGTGAAATTTTTGTTTCATATTGAGGCGATATCAATTTTTTTAGTTCAAGATTATAAAATAATTCAATTGGGGTTTGAGCATGCCAGTTTACTCAAGTTTGGCAAACTGCTGAACACCTAAAATAATAATTCAAAGTTTTTCGTGCCATACGCAATTCACAATTTGTTGCATTTGACCCTGACTTTGGGGGCAGAAAATAAAACCAAAAAAAATAGAAAAACTAAATTTAATTGAAACTTTTTTAACGCAGAAAACCTGGACTAAGTGAAAGGGCAGACGGAACATTCAGGGTTATGCCCTGATACGAACAATTCTGATTTTTTTTTTAAATAACACGTCATTTAGCGCTATTGGTAAACAGAGTTACAGAAGTTGTGCCCATTTTTAGATTAACTCAAAATCAGGAGCAAAAAAAATCAATCTTTTTGCATCTTAGAGAAATCAGATGAAAAAAAAAACAAACATCAAGTTCCGAATATAAAACATTCAAATTTAAAATTAAGTTTTAAGCTTGTCTATAGTTTGAGCTTGTCTTAGGCATTATCAAAAAACAGAGATCAAAATGCTGTAGCCTATTCTTGACGCTTTTAAAGAGTGGTTTTTCAACTTCGTATTTGTAGAGCCTGCGATGAAATTCCCAACGTATTCGTAATATAATGTTTTTTTCTTAAGTTTATATGAAATTGCGTTTCAGACACCATCAAAGGCAACCGGATTGTTTGAGTTTTGCGCTCGACCTAGAATTTATCTTTCGAAAAAAATTACTGCGAAGTCTCAAAATTTAACATATTTTTTTATGAAGAGAACTGAACTTGTGATGATTCACTTTTTGTACTGCTGCAATCATCATTCTCGATTCAGCTCCGTTTGCTTGAAGAGTCAAAAAGCTTTCACCCATATGGTTTTCTAATCAAGATCAATGCCTGCTCTACATACAGATTAAGGACAATATTTGCCATGAGATTTGATTGATTACGGTTATTAGATAAGGACACTTTTTCGAAGAAAAAAAATTTCTCGCAAGACTTTCAATTTATTTGCAACCTCATCATCTTGCTTTTTCAGCAATCAAAATTGTCTAGAACTAAATTTTATTCGAAACTAACCTGGAAAACGTTTTTTACACTTTTTAATTAATTTTAAACGTTTTTACTTTTTGTGTATAATTTTGATAAAACAAACACTTCATTGATTCATACGGTAATCATAACATAAGCACTTTGTGAAACTTTTACGGCCGACATGATAGACCAGGACTGTTTCAGCAAAAATATTAGCTCTTTGAGCTGAAATTGAAAACAAACTTTGTAATTGCCTAGTTGTCCAACTTGGATAAATTAACCAGCAATTTTTTGACCAACGCCTAAGAGCAAAATTTTTGGCTCGGCTTGGTGTACTGCACTTAAAACCTAGCCTGTGTATAGACTTTTTTTCAAATTCCTTAGCATGAATGCTCGTGTCAGGACATAATCTTGCATGTACTGATTGCCCTTCAACTTGCCTTGAACTTTTTGGTAAAAAGCATCGGAGTCATCATAATCTACTTAAATTCAAACAGAATGTGAAAAAAAATTACGATGACTCCAATGCTTTTTATTTAAAAATTCAAGGCTAGTTAAAGGGCAGTCAGTACATGCAAGATTATGCCCTGATACGATCATTCATGCTAAGGAATTTGAAAAAAAAGTCTATACACAGGAAAGGTTTTAAGTGCAGTACACCTAGCCGAGCCAAAAATTTGAGGTGAATGCAGTTGGTTATATTTTTTCAACAGTTCGAATGCTATGAACTTAATTTTAAATTGACTCAAAGCCTTGCATAAGAAGAAAGTGGTAAGATTTTTCACAATTTTCTCGTTGAATTTTTTGCACTCTGAAAACAGTTTTCGTTTGGCATTCAACTACAGATACTCTGTTCTTGTTTGTCAATGATATTTTCTAGATAATGTTGGGATCGTATGGTCTGAAACTGAATTCTTTTCGTCTCCATGGTCTAAAACTAG